TGTTATAAAATAGGACATATTGCAAGTGAGTGCAAGTCTGTCACCAAGAAGCAACAGCAGAAATCTCAACATAAAGCATCTGGAGCTACCTACAAAGATGGTGCTGGCAAAAAACAAGAAAAGAGTAACTGTCACCATGAATGCTACTGCTAGAAGAAACAGAATAGAAACAACTCATCAGATTTACCACATGAAAGAAGTGCTATTATCATGATTAAACAGTGCATGATTGATGGTCAGCTCAAGTTAACAAAAGGGTCAAAAATGCCAGCAATGATCAGAGTTTGTGACAAATATTGAGAGGTGCCAACAAACCACAACATACCAGTAGGTGAAGGCTATGTCAGGGATAAGAAAGTGAAAATCCTACAATACACTGGGTGCAGCAGTGAGAACCAGTCTAGTATGTTATGACCAGATGATGGGCAAGGTACATCTGTGTGTGCTGATTGATGGGAGAGTGAGAAAGTTTCCCATAGCAATAATAAGGGTGGATACTTCATACTGTGTGGAAGACCTTGAGGCCATGTGTGTGAAGGCATCCATCTATGACTTGGTGATTGGCAATATACCAAGTAGTAGAAGTTTGGAGGAACCAGACAGAAAGAAGACTGTTGAGGCATCTGCAGTTGCCATAAGAGCTCAAGAAAAGCAATCAAGACATCAAGCCTTTGCAATTCTTGAAAGGTGACACCCCAAATGTAGGTCTACAAGATCTGAAGGAAGCACAGAAGAAAGACCCTTTCTTGTAGAAACTTTGGGACAGTGCCTGGGAGAAAGTCCAGCACAAGACAAAGGGAAAAGGGGCTTACAGAATAGAGGACCAGAAGACAGTGCTGTACCAGATCTATCAAGGTAGTTTAATGGGGAAGTTTTGATTATGGGATGAAACCTAGGAGCAAAAAAAGACAGTAGACAGAATCACCAGCAACTTCCATTGGCTGAGGGTCATTGGAGATATGACCAGATTCTGCTGGTCATGTGACATCTGCCAAAGGACAATACCTAGAGGGAAGGTAACCAAAGTGTCACTTGGTTAGATGCCTCTCATAGAAGAGCCAATCAGCAGAGTAGATGTGGACTTGATTGGGCCACTAGCACTGGTATTTGACAAGGGGAACCAGTACATGCTGACAGTAGTCAACTATGCGGCATGTTATCCAGAAGCCCTCCTGGAAGTGTTCTGCAGAGTGATAGATGGCCCGAGTTTACTTCAGAACTGATGCACAAAGTGTTTAGATTCATCAGCACCAGGCAGCTCTATACCACTTCGTACAACCCTAGATGTAATGGAATTTATGAGAGAGTTAATGGAGCCTTAAAAAGCATGCTGAAGATGATGTGCAGGCAGTATTATTTGCTTAACGAGAAGTTTCACAAGTGAGTACAGGATTTTCATCCTTTGAGTTACTGTATGGAAGAACAGTACCATATCCATGGACAGGAGAAGAAGAGTTAGAAGTGAGGAACACATGCCAATACATGTTAGACCTCAGAAACCAACTGGAGGAGTCCTTGAACTTACTTCAGAAAGTTTGTTTGTAGCTCAAGGCAATTAGAAACACTTCTGTGACAAGAAGGTCAAGAATTGACATTTTAAGGTTGGACAGAAGGTCTTGGTTCTACTACCCACAAACAACAACAAACTTACCCTACAGTGGAAAGGGCCTTTTGAAGTGTAGGAAGTGATCAACAGAATGGATTTGTGAAAGTGGATAGGAAGACCAAGATCTACCACACCAATCTGTTGAAGAGGTACTTTGAGAAGGAATGAGACCTAATGGGTTCAGCTATAGAGGCAAAGGTGGACATTGCAGGTGTGGCAGTCATAGATGCAGAACCAAAACACAAAGACCTATAAGAACTAAGACTTCTGAGTGGAGGTGAGACATACAAGGATGTCAACATCAGTGAAGAACTGACTAGCAAGCAGAAAAAATAGCTACAAGATCTACTGTGCCAGTATGCAGATGTTTTCACAGATAGACCAGGCAAAACAAACCTTGTGGAACACAAGATTGAGACCTTGACCTGGGATCCAGTCATGGTGAAGCCCTACCAGATTCCCTGTGTGATGAGAGACCCTCAAGGGAACTGAAAATGTTGGTGCAGACTTTATGAGTAGAATTTGTGCCTGAACTGAAAACCATCTTTGTATATAGTAAAATATTGTAAATATTTTTCTTGAAGAAGAGATTATTGTTAGAATATACATGACTGTTTCCATTTAAGTTTAGTTTGAGAGTTATGATTAAGATAGTTATATAGTGGGAGTGTTAAATTTAGTTATTTTTAAAGCAATAGTTTGCAGATTGTTTATCTAACTGTTTACAAATCATACATTATTTAGTTCACTAGTTGGTGGCTGTTATATTATTGCATCGTGTTTCTAGAACCTTCTAAGTGTTTTCTCATTGTTTCATTGAGTATTATTGCAACATAATATCTTGTATGTGTGGAAGGTTCTAGGCCTCCTTGGGCTATAAATTTGCATCTAAGAATGTAGTTCAAGATATATATATATATATATATATTGAGAGAGAGATATATAGTTAGATTGACATAGACTGTGTGATTATTAGTTTAGCCATAAAGAGCGTGTAGTGAAATGATAGATTGTATTCCAGTAACAGAGTACAGAAGTATAATTTGTCTTGTTAATTGCGTTATAAAGTAATTGAACCAGCCTGTGTTGACTTTGACAAAAAGGAAAACAATTATTTTACCCTTTGAGTGTGTAATTGAATAATGCACCTAAGAACACAGAAAAATAACGTGTAAAAAGGAGACAGTGTTCTATAGCTATCATAATTTTTCTGGCTTTGTAACTATGTGACAAGAGCTGTTAAAAATTCAGCTAAGCTCAACAATGTGTTTCCTGTGGGAATAAAGTTTGAACTGGAAGCAAAATAGACAATTCTCTCTACACAAAACAACGTAATACAATGTATCATTTGATAGATTAAAACTTTAGCTTTATATTGGTCATAAATAATATAGTATAAAGTGTCAGATTGGCAATATGTCAAAAAGGATGTGGCAAGTGGGTCCGAGTTTCTAGTTTATGGCTCTGAAAACAAATAAGATTGAAGGCTATAAAAATTGTGCTTTTTCTGAGTAATAACTATATTATAATGAATAACTTACCTTAAATTCTCTGTCTTGGAGGAACTGTAAATAAATTAGAGAAGAGGGAAGAACTAGACAGCAAATGTCACAATTCTCATCCTAGCAGAGATTGAGGATTCTTTTTATATTTTCTTGTAAAATATATAATTTAGAACTGAAAATTTACATAATATCAAAAGTTGGTTTATTAACTATGTTGTGATGCTAAGTTAATTCGTATATTATGATAATAAAGTAATTTAACTAAATTTTGAAAGCAATTTTCAAAAAGTCATGACAAGCAATTTTATCTGCCCATGGTGAGAGAGTTAGTTATATCTTAAAACCATATGATAGCACAGAATTATAAGCTCTAATGATATAAATGAAGTCTAAGTTAGTTACTTAGAAGTATTAAAAATTTTTTTAACTCAGTTTTCCTACTCAAGTAGCAGAGTCATGAAGTGAATATGTTGATCAAATATCAAATCAAAACTATAATGCTTATGTAGGTAACCCAAGTACTGCTTTATCTTCCAACACTTTTGTTCACAAATCTATGGGTGTCTGGGCTTAAGGTATTTTTAAATATGTATGTGTATGTTTTTGTGAATATACATGTTTATCAGAAAAAAACATCAGGACTCTTTCAAATAGCATATACCTATTTGGTCCTAGCCACACACACACACAATACACTCTACACTAAAATTCAATGAGAGTGTTGCCATAACTTTATAAAACCTTATCTTGTGTATTGAGAATCTGTATATTGATTTGTCTAGTTAGAACTCTCACATGTTACTTAACTTCTCCATTTGTCCTGGGCAACCCAATTATTGCTATATCTCCCAACACCCCTGTTCACAATTTTCAAGAGTGTCTGGGGGTTATGATATTTTTAAATATATACATACACACACATTTGTGTGTGTGTGTGTGTGTATATATATATATATATATATATGTGT